TCCACCGCCAAGCGCCTCATGGGGCTCGGCAGTGGAGCTGCAAGGCCGGCGGTGGCAGCTGGGACCGTTGGGGGCGGGGTGTGTGGCCTTATGACACACTTCCGGTGATGTCAGGGGGTGTGGCATATGCTAATGAGTTATGCTAATGAGTTCCCTTGCTCTTTTTCTACGAAACGACCCCTGCCTCCCCCCATAAAGACTGTCTGAACACAATGCTGCCGTGGCAATGGAAGACATGTAGCAGAAGTCTTCACCGGGGTCCAGAATTTAGACGTACCCAACTTCCTCTCTATTTCTTTTGCCTGTTTGGTAAGACACAAACACACACACACTCGCACTCACTTATATTTCATTTTCTCTCAGCCCCCCCTCTCCCTTATCTAGCTTTCTTCAACTCTACAAATTGACTTGTTTCCTGAGATTCCTGCTTGTCCCCTTAGCAATGCTTTCATCCTCTCCTCAGGGACAAAAGGACATTAAGCACAGTACACTTCTATCCACTGTATAATTCTGCAGTTTTTCTCCCTTTTAAAGAAGTAATGTGTAATTGAGGGGTCTTCAACATGGTGGATGCCATGATGCCCACCAACACTTTCCCTGGTGCCTTCCAAGTGTTTTTAGGAACTGGATGGGGCCAGCTGGGAGCTTTTGAAGAGCAGGGCTTCTGATTGGCTGTACTTTTTTTAAAATGTTGCTTTGCCATCAACTGCCACCACAGCACAATGATCTTCACGGCATGACTGAAGGCAAGCTGGGTTTATGCGGAAGAACACAACAAAACTTTAAAACGATATGTTCATTTTAAAAGGCATCCTGTTAAATGGCGCTCCAGCCTGAAATGTTGAAGATTTCCTCTTACAATTGCGCATAACCTCTCTCCCTGACCCTTTGTGATGGTCCCTGCCTCTTAGAACAGCCATTTTGTAACTGGCCCTGCCTCCTGTGGCAGCCATTTTGTGGTTGTGCCCACCACTGCGGGTGGTTTGTTGCCCTCTTCCTGTGTGTTTGTTCTACCTCTTTATTGGCAAGGAGATGCACGAAAGCAATTCCTTTCCGCTGCAAGATCTGAGAAAACAGACTCTGCCCTTCAAGATGAACTGTGTTACGCAGCCTGCTGGTGGAACATGAGTTCTAACCTCTGAACCTTTCTGCAGTAGAATAAATTCAGGTTTTCTATGGGTTATTACCTTGGACTTGTGTGTTGGCCCGATCTGGCTAAATAGACTTAATTTACTCTGGTCTCCAAAAGTTAAGCAAACAGAGTATGGTACACAGTATATGGATATTACGCTATACAGGGATTATTACTGTGATGAGTGTGCTAAACTAAATAATACAGTACTGCAAAAATCAGAAAATATATGCTATTTAAATAAGCTAAAGTGATATGCTTTTTTAAACAAGGTTGGAATACAATAATACAGTCAGTTTCAAATAAACAGAAGTGGTTTTTAACGAAGCAAATGATGTTAACAACGTGCTCCGGAATGTCCTGTGTCGTTTCGACGTTCCTTCTTCTGAACAAGATTCTATAGATAATTTCCAGTGTTTTGTCTCATCTATAAGAGTAGAAATGAAGCCTGATGCTCACATATTTTTTCTTCATAGGTCAATAACAAAGCACAATTGCTAGTAGAAAATTCATTTAGGGCGAGTTACAGTCAAATGGAATGCCAGTATTCCAAAAGTGCCTGCAGTATCCAGTATTCCAAAAGTGCCTGCAGGCTCAAAAAGATTGGGGACTCCTGGTGTAGTTCTACCAGTTTTTGCCTCTTGACTTGACTCTCTGCCCCTCCCCC